AGTGAACAATTGCTTATTCATAATATTTTCCTACTCATTAATAATGTGTTTATCAATAGGCACAGTGAAAATAGAGAAGATGGGTAGGGAATATATTAAAACCTACTTTTCCTGCCTTTAATGTAATTCTTAAAGAACTAGATCTATTAACTAAAATAATATTTTTAGGGAAAGCTATTATGTATTCCACTGTTGGCTACAGTTAAACAGCCCTATGGTTTGAGCTCACTATGCTTTCTAGCAGTAAGGAACTGGCTATTCTGCTTTCACTACAGTCTTTATTTCTGTTATGAAAAGGTGTAATATAAAAATCTTTTAAAATTAATTTAAGAGCGAAGTTTCTATTGGGGTTGGCAACTGCATAATTTACTGAAACTAGAGTGGGGTAAAGGTTAATACTTAATACAAGCACATGTTCTGTCCTTTTGTGCTATTATAATTTGTCTTAACACTACTTTCTGTCTTCAATTCATTCCTCCTAAGAAACAGAGCTGCCATAAGTTCAAAATTGTTCTATAATAAAACCGAAAAATGCATCCAGTTTTCTCCTCAGTTGAACTGAATAAGTTTTTGTAACAGAGATATTATCAGTAGAGCATCCACAACACAAAAGAGATGGCTGAGCAGGAGTGAGGACACTCATACACAGAAATCTATATTTCCCTATTTCTAGAGATAAACTTGATTTAAGCTCAGATCTTAAAGGCAAGAAGAAAGCAGCTGTATCATATTTTGATCTCTCATTTCACTGAATGGCAGCTCTAGATTATTATTTTCACTTATTAAGGTCGTGCCTGAATCGCCATAATACTGCAGTCAAAAATGGTGAAAATATCTTTTATGCTAAGAAAAAACATGTTCGTATTCAGGTTGTAATGTATCTCTGTATTTTAAGAAATAAATTAGCATACCTATCCAATAAAATATATTTCTCTATTGTACACCACAGAAGATAAGAGTTATTTGAGGAAGAGTGATAGCTTAATCAACAATCCTCTTACAGGGTGGCTTGGTTCTTGGTTTTGTTTTAATAAGGAGGCAAAAAAGAGAGGGGAAAAACCCAGCAAAAAAATACATTTCTTTTGGGATACCTGCAATGTTTTCAGTGCTAAAACTTTACAGTATTTTTTTTTAAAGAAAAGTGAGCCATCTAGAGTTTGGTACAAGATGGGTGGCTATGTAAATGTTTTAAGCAAACAAAATACTGGGCTTTTTATCATTCCCATTATATAGACTGTAATGTGGGATTTAAAATGGTAGTCTGACTCGAGTGTGTTCATCCAGCACACTATTAGCAAGATGCCCTGAGTGCTTAGTTTTGTATTTAATGTATGGGCCTGAGCCATTCTTGTTAAAGTCAGCTGGTGTCTTTCCACTGATTCCAGAAGTTATAAGACCTGATATGTCTTAATTATGAACTCATCTGCAAAGGATTCAATCTAGCATGTGTTTTTTCTTCAGAAGGGAGTTGCATTAAATTTGATGGAGGTTATTAAATTTGATGGAGGTTATTCTCAGGAAAGCATGCATATGACTGCAGAATTAGGATTTAATTCTATTTACATCTTATTAATAAACCCTACTGATTCCAACTCTCTTTTTTTTTGGTAGAAACAGGCCTAGGATCAAGATGTAAAGAATTGTTTTGCTTTTTGCATTACCATTGTTAGCAATTATGAACATTAGAGTGGAAATAAATGCAATCTAGGAGAAAGCTCCTCCCCAAAAGGAATGTACTTTTTGCTTAGTTTAGTAGCACTGTTGACAGTTTTCCTCCTTGTTTTGTTATTTATAAATTTTATATTCATTGAATGTATATTGTCTTTTAAGGTAATAATGTTCACTTTTTATAGTGTATCTTTATTCTAAACAATAAAGTGTTTTATTTCTTACCACAGATATTCTATCATCTCTATTGTAACTCATTTTGCTCAATAAAAAGGTATCCAACTGAATATTGTTGGAAACAAGTTCACTGCTGATGCGCATCTGATAGTCCTTCTTACAGGCAAATTTTATCTAGGTTTGTCATATTTAACTTCAATACATGTATACAAATATCAAATCCCAATAAATCAACCAACCTAAATTGTTCCCAGCTTTCACATTTACACATCATTAACACTAGCGTGAAATAGTATATGCACAAGCCATATTACCTGCCTACAAATACTGTGGACAACTTTAAAAAAATTAGTATAGGTAGGTATACTGTTGCAAGCAGTCTTCTATCTGGCAATGTGGATAAATATGTGGATAAATAAATATGTGGATAAATATAACTATCCTCTCCCCGTTTGGTTGCATATCGACCCAACTGTTAGTAGCAAGGTTGTGATTCATATCTGTTGCTCAATAGACTGAGGTATGCTACATAAAGCAGCCCAATCATTGTGTTCAGAACATCTAAGCTGATGTCACTCAAAACCAGGTATTTTGTTCTGATTACAAAAAAAACTAGTACAGGCATTTATTCAGCACAAAGCTTTCAAAATAATGTTTCAAGGATGGAACATTTCAGACTGAAAAAAAATTGCATATTCCTGGCCAAAACAATATAAGATGGATCAAACTTAAATTTTATTTCATCAATCTTGTGGATTCTAATATGAAGTTTCTACAGAAGAAAAAAATAACGTGTAATATATGGCCCTTGCAGTTCCCCAAATCACTCACCATTAGCCATGATGTGAATTCACCAACATTTAAATACTAAAGTTTTCCTATACCCTAATTAAATGATATATTTTTTACCATTAGCTCACTAGTCCATCTAGGCAGTATTATGTCTACTATACGATAGACAAGAGTCTTTTCTAGTTTAAAAGGTAGAAACTTCCTATCTAGGAAAAGAAATTGGGAGAATTTCTAGTAAAATTATACTGCTAGGGTATTGGCCTTATTCAGAGTTCCTGAATAATTATAGATATTTAAAACAAGTTACTTTAGTACAGTATATCACAGAGTGAAATTCTCCTCTGACAATAATTTACAAAGACATGGATCCTAAATTAAAACATTTCCCTAATGTAGTGCTGACGGAGTCAGAGTGTGTAAATTTTCTGGATTTGTATTCCTGGAATTTACAAGGGCAAATTATGAATGGACTCAAGCTATAAAGGAAGGAAGTCCTGGAACAATGTAGAAAACACAAATAATTCAAAGGAAGGAATGTTTTTATATATAAGGTTTTTTTAAAATATATATATATATATTTCATTGCATATTATTTTCCTTATGGAGATGTAAATAGAAAACAACATATTTTGCTTCTTGAATAAAGGCATACACTTCATTGCCCAGAGATGCCCCCACTCCAAAATATTCATATTCTAGTAAATATATATAGGTGGGATTTGGGAACCCTTTGGTGCCTTAAAAAGTTTGAATTTATGTTTTAAGTATAGTCAATAGATTTTTTTGAAAATTTAAAACATTGTTTAATATTTTTTGATATAGTGTTTTAATCCTAAATGTAGTGATGTTAAAACATACTCTTTCATATCTAGGGAACATGACAGACAATTCAAGTGAACAATTTAAGGTGTCCACAGGGAATTCCAAAACAAGCATTGACCTGCTGCTGTGCAAGCTTCCCTTGTACAAAAGGGGCAGAGACTGCTCTGTTTGGTTACAATTTTTCTTTTGTCATTTTAATGAAATTGGATTCTGTGGAACCTTCTGGGGAGGGTAAGACAAATTCCTAATACTCAGTCCTTCCATTCCTGCACCATGTAGCATTATTAATATTATCTACCCATGCCTATTACTTATTTTGAACAATATGGTGATGCAAACTGATAATAATAGCTATTATTATCAACACAAAAGAGATGAGATGAAATGCTGCTTCTCATAAAGTTACTTATTATTATGCCTAACTCTGTATAGAATGAGTCAAAACAACAATTTTGATACATTCTCAATCTCTTTTTAATAACATACTAGATAAATGGCCTATTAGGTCATTGTTTCAAAGAAATTTCTTTACCTACACTGACTGAACATAGGAGGGAAAAAATATGGTAGAAGCAGGAGCAACTTCCTGGGAGCAACTTTGGACCTTCCGCTGCTTCCCCATTGTCTTTGCAGGAAAAGTCACAAATGGCTATAATGTGGTTCACTGTGGTATAATTGTGAGCACCCAGATAGCAATCATGTGACCATAGTGACGTGGCAATGGCTGCAATTTCGTGAACTAGCTGCAGGTGCCCCTCCTTCAAGGTTTGTTGTAATTTTGAATGAAGTTTGAAGAAGTAGTTAAAAGTTCAGTGTTACCTTTTGTATAATGAGAAAAGAAAGCTGGACTTTGGAAATAATTTTGCAAAGGGAGTCAGTGAGTGACAATTTGCTTCAATGAGTAATATGGATATTGCAGTAGTTTTAAAACCTTAAATATATTATAAATTTATCCTGTACTTTAGTTCCTTACTTCCTAGCTCCTCCATGTCTCTTTCTTTTTCTCTGTATACACACCTACACACACACACACACACACACAGACAGAACATATTTCTCAGACTGAATGCAGAATTTGCTCAGATATAATCCTACCCACCAAACAACATCTGTATTTAATGTGTTCCACATAGCATGCTGATATCATTTAGGGGATATGGTGAAGCATTGGACATCCATAACTTCAACATGGCAGTCAAGCTTCTGGGAAACCTAATAATCCTCTGTCTTTGCATTACACTTGCATTTTTCTCTGTGGCCAACAATAATATTTCCTTCCAATACTGAGAAATGTGTTGCTTTATATTATAATAAGGTTGATTAGGAATGTGCACTGGCAACCATAATGAAACTAAATATTGGGGAAGATTAGGGCTATCATAAACCAGGCCTGAAAGTATAAAAGTTATTGATGAGAAAGAACTGGAATGAACATTCCAGTAAAGGGGCATGACTCTGCCTCTGTAGGATACTGATTTATGTAATCTCTGTTCCTTTCGCAAAACATTGTACCATTAAAGCAAAGAAACTAAGTTACTTACCATCTGCTTATGGCTTGGGAAGAATGTTTGTTCTACAAGAGGGAACTTCTCGGGACCCAATGAGCTGACAATCTTAATTAGCTGAGAGAACTAGGAAAGAAGAGAGAGAAGAATGGAGGGAGGGAGGGAAGAAAGGAGGGAAGGATGGACAGAGGGAGGGAGGGAGAAAGGAAGGAAGGAAAGAAAGAAAAAAGAAGAGGAATCACTTGGGAGCAATATTACAAAGTGAACAAATGTCAAATACAAATAGACATGAAGAGTTATGTCTCTGCTCCCTCATGTATCATCCTAAATATTAATGTATTATTGCTGTCAATCACACCATCTGTAACTATACATTACTAATAGTGCATGCTGAAAATCCTTTTGGTTACATGCATGCATGTACATAACACAATCTTAAAATTATGTCAGGTTTTGAGTTTAAACAAGCGAACATCCAACATCCATCTTATGTTTATGCTAATGATATGATTGCTCTCTCTCCAATCCCAGTTTGAAATCTCTACTGGCTGTTTACCACTATAGCTGCCTTTGAGTTGTCCATCCTAAGGGTGCTGGCATACTACATACAGTGTATAGGCTCTTACTTCAGATCAGCCTCTGGTTGCAAGTACAGAATGAGAAGAAAATTATATTTTATATTATATTTTGCATGGAGCTTTACCTTTGCTGAAAAACTGACATGCTCATCCTACATGTACCTAAAGAGATGCAGAAATGATATAGCAAGATCTTTTGAAATTATATAGTGATCTTTTATGAATGGCATGTGTCATTATAGAGACATTTCTGTGTGTGTGTGTGTGCCTTCAAGTTAGTGTTTACTTCTGGAGACTGCCTGAACAAGTCACTGCAGTTTTCTTGGCAAGGTTTCAGAAGTGGTTTGCCACTGCTTCCTTTTTTAGAACTGAGGGTGAGTGACTGGCCCTTCTTACAACTATCTCAAATATCTGATTACAAAACAAAATGCAAAACCCTGTTTTATCTATTTTAATGAAACAACATATAAGTCAAAGCAAGGCTCCCTAACTAAAGTCCATATTTACAGTTACATAGCTTGTTTTCGCTTAATAAAAGGGAAATAAATAGTTAAAATATTTCAGATTTCTGCATGACTGCTCATTTATAGGAAGGCATAATTATAAATGATAGTCTCTTTAGTATGTTCTGTCTATGTCAATCCTATCTACATTAACAATATGCCACAGGAGGGTGACAACTCGATATGAAATATATTTCATATATAAGCTTTCATTATTGTTTTATTGAAGGTGCAAGAAAAAAATCAGTATTTTATAGATAATATTTTTACCCTTCTTAGAATCAGATAAAGGAAAATAAATGGAATTTATTGCATATAGTGGGAATTGCAACCTACTGCAGTATAGAAGGGGTTTTAGACTGTTTGGTTTGTTTTTTCATGTCTACATCAAGTCTATATAATTATGAGAAATGATACAATATCTGGAAGTTTGGGGATTAATGTATGGATGCAGGCCTTGAATAAAATATTCAATTAGAATTGCATCTTCAATTTTCAAGGAAATTGAAATGTTCTTAAAATGCATGTAAATTAAAAAAATAACACGGGAAGATTTTAGTGATCACGGCTATATTTCTGACATAGAAACACTGGCACTAATTTGTACAACTCTTTCTTCAACTTTCTGGGCTCTGAGTCCCATGTTCAGACTGTTTGCATATCTACTTAGTAGAATTACAATATGCAGCATTTAATTTTGTAATTTGTAAATTTCAGTTTTGTAACACATACATATATAATAGGTACTGTATGTGTACATGCCAATACAAAGATGACCTATGTGACTATATATATGATTATATATCTCTGCTCTCAATTTGTTTTAAATATATATGGAGAGCAAGAGTGCTAGATCTGGGTGGATGGCACAAGCAATTGCACATGGTCTCAGATATGCCAAGGCCATCCTATGTAAAGTGGGCAAGATAAGGATATAAATGAGCAAGGCCAGTACAAAACTGAAGTTGATTAGTTAAATTAAGTTTAGCTTTAATGGAAATACAGGTTGGCTCAGTATATCTGTCCCAGCATAAAACTATGAATAATATAAATAAAAGTAATTAGATAGCAATAGCACTTAGATTTTATATATCACTTCACAGTGCTTTACAGCCCTCTCTAAGCAGTTTACAGAGTCAGCATATTGCCCCCAACAGTCTGGGTCCTTATTTTACTGACCTCAAAAAGAAGGAAGGCTGAGTCAACTTTGAGCCAGTGAGACTCGAACTGCCAAACTCCTGGCAGTCGGCAGTCAGCAGAATCAGCCTGCAATACTGCATTCCAATCACTGTGCCACCACTCAGATCTCGAACCCAAGGAACTAGATGAAGAGTGTTAAATTTCAGAACCTCTGAATGTCTTGTTCCTCAAACAAGCACCCATTCCTGCTTTCTCCTATTGTCTGAGTAGTGTATTTACTCCTCCTTCTCCTCATTAGTTGCATTGCATCTCATTGAGTCAACCTAACTGAGATACTAGTCCTCCCTTATGAACTGCCTTGTTTAGTGACTGTTCAAAGTTATGATGGTGTAAACAAGATATTTTGTAATCAATCCTCACATTTATAAGAATTGTAGGCTCCTGCAGTCACCTGACTGTCATTCAGCAGTCACATGACTGCTTCACAATGGCCCATATATATGACATGCAGCATCCTATGGTCACCCGATTGCCACTTGTGTGCTTTGCAATTGTCTTATGACAAACAGAGTTAATAGAGAAAGCAGAAGTAAAATCATAAATCTTAGTCATTTGATGTTTTGCTTAGCAACCACAGTGATTTGTTTAACGACCAAAGGGGAAGTGAGGTTGTCAGCACATCTCAGTCAGGTGATGTTCAACTCAGCAACTGTGGTGCTTAGCCTCTCTTGGATGACTCAGATGACTTAGAGAGACCCATCAAAACAGAGTGAAAAGCAGGAGGAATAAATATAGATATATGTCCTAATCCTACCTCTTAAAAAATATACTCTTCACACATACAAAAGCCCTTTCTGTGTACAGATAAATTATTTTTAATGAGAATGGCTATAATAGTGGAATCTTGGAAGTGTGACTGCGTTGTACTTTCCCCCCTTCTTATACTCCTGTGAATTAGGGAAACATCTGCCTGGGCCTCTTCTGCATATTTTCTGTCCTTATGGACTTACAATATATTTTGCCCTGTGTTGCTTTAGTAACAGAGCTTGCATATCAGATCATCTTCCTTTCTCTCCACAGGTTTTATGCAGTGCCACTCTACAAATTTATATTTTTATTTTAGCTACTGTCCTTTTTTTGACAAGGTATTTGAACATTATAAGTTTCAAATAAAATGAATTCATGCAGAAATAATTTAACTATTGTGTAAAAGTGTGATTTTCTATGTTTTTATACTATTATGATGAGAGTTCTTTAGTGACTAGTAAAGAAAGCAACCTGAGATAGAGGTGGTTGTGGAAGCAATTTAGAATTTTCCAGAATTAAAAAAGAACCTCAAAATAGAGCTTTCCATAGAAGCAAAACAAAACAAAAAAATATTTTTGCCTTAATTCCCAGCTTTCAGGATAGGCAATGTTATACAAGATGCAGAAAGGGTTTTTCTAGAACTGATGAAATGAGACATTTAATGCTGAGATGGATTAAACAGCTGAGAAATGGTTTTGTTTAGGGAAGTAAAACAGTTGTATTATTTACTGAAATCTTCAGTAGTGGGAAAGATAAAGAATTTGATTTAAGTTTTTAAAAAAATATTTTGTGCTAAAAATTGAGTTTCAAATTCCTTCATATGCACATTGTATATACCTAAAGAACTCCCTTTTTCCCCATGTGAGGATATTTAAAAATATCACCTACCACCCAGGGTTTGCTGCAGAAATTGTAGATAGAGAAAAGTGAATTAACGCTATGAACCCCACCATATTGGAGACCAATGATAAGGCTGCGAAAATCTTCTCCTAGGGCCATGCTGTAAGCATGCTGACGGATGAGAACAAAATCAGGCTTGAAGGATCTAGGAGAAATAAGCAAATAATACGTTTAATAGTCAATTGAATCCTCCTATTCCAATCTGTTTTTTTCTTTTCTGATTCTTCCTCTTCTGCTTTCCTAAACTTGGTGACAATTTCTCAGATTTCAAACTAAGTACTTATTACAGCTCATTAAAGACATCATTTAAACTTTCATTGCCTACAGTAACAGAGTTTTAAAACTTTGAATACATTTCTTATATATAATCCCGTAGAATTCATCCCGCACTAGAATGTTGTGTGATAAGATCTAAATATATTACTTTAGTATAACAAGGCCAACCAGAAGTTGTTCTCTAAGAATTTTGGATAAGATCCCATGATACTTTTTTCAATGTTGCATACAGATGACAAAAAATAATTTCTGAATCTTTGGAGGTAGAAATTATTAACATGTATAAAATAACATTTCTGAATGCAGTGCACGCATTTTCTTAGAAGGTTTTTCCCCCTGCAGAATACAGCATTAAATAATCACATAAATAATATTTGTTATACTCTCAGTAGCTCAAAGGAGAATTGACTTTTGAGTCTGCTACCTTTATATCCAAGTAGCTGAGACATCTCTAGAAATGTTTTAAGTTGGATTTTTCTCATATTCTAATTTTCTTTTCTTGCAAATTTATACATTTTGAATGTATTTTTTTTCCTGAACACTTCTACAGTTTCAGATATTTCTTGTTCAGAGATTACTTTCAGCAAGGCAAGGATAGCATTTAATTTGGTTGGGTTTATATTAATATTAAGTTTAATTTGGGTTTAAATTAATATTAATATTGTATTAAGACTATTAATTTAAATTTTAGGCACAAATTTTCATGGCAAGAAACCCATGGAATCATAAATCATGCTGCTTGTCTCCTTATTAGTCAACTCAATGTAACAGAAGAAAATGTAGTTGTACATAGTAGTCTATTTTGCACTGTACTCCGTGCAAATATCTAAAATTAGTGCCACTTTATGTGCCACTTTGATATTCTAAAGGAAAGGAAGCAGTTAACTTAGCAGGTAACCAAGTAACTAACAAGCCACTATAACCTTGGTAATTTTATAAAAGCAAGACTTGCCACATATCCTATCTGGCCTATGTGGTGTTTTTACAAGTCTGGTTCATCTCCCCTGTCTAGACAGAGCACAGAAATAACATACAGGAATTTCATTTGGCTTATTGCTCTTTGGAAATTGGTCCAAATTTGCCAAATTCTCCATAATAAGGGAAGTAAAATGAGAATAAAATAAATAAGGAGGAAGACCATTTTACACATACAAAACAGGTTTCTGCTCTCAAGGAATCCTCGTTTGCCTCTTACAGTTAAAGGCAGATTTGTAAATTTTAAATTTACAAATTTAGCTGAGATTTTTGCATGACAGGAAGTGCTGTATTGGAATTAGATTATTTTCTTAAATAGCGATTATTGGACTATTTTTCCAAGAAGAATAAACAATTAGGCACAAAATTGTGACAAGTACAAGTTGCTGTGGTATTCTTGGCCTTCTCAAACATACTTGAAGCAGGGGAAAAACTGGTGACCCCACTAGCTGAGGAGACCGTACAGCTTCTCTATTTCTCTTCACAACATAAGATTTATAAAGCCATCTTAGAAAAGGCTTAAGGTTTATGCAAAGAAATGAAAACATTGAACAAACTTTTTAAGCAAAATATTTCCCAAGGAAAGGAACAGAAATATTTTGAAAGACAGGGTTTATTAAATAGCATTTAATAAAGTAGACCACAACCTACTCCTTGGTAAGCTAGAAAAAGGTGGAATAGACAACATCTCCACCAGATGGATCTGTAGCTGGCTGGCAAACCTTACTCAATGAGTAGTTCTCAATGGCACCACATCCACATGGAGAGAAGTGAGCAGTGGGGTACCACAAGGTTCCGTCTTAGGCCCAGTACTCTTCAATACCTTCATAAATGACTTAGATGAGGGAATTGAAGGGGAACTGATCAAATTTGCAGATGACACTAAATTGGCAGGAGTAGCCAATACCCCAAAAGACAAACTCAGGATCCAAAAAGATCTTGACAAACTTAAACAATGGGCCCTATCCAAACAAATGAGTTTCAATGTGGAGAAAAGCAAAGTCTTACATTTAGGCAGGAAAAATTCAAAGGTACAAGTACAGAATAGGCATGATCTGGCTTAAAAACAGCAACTGTGAGAGGGACTTTGGAGTCCTAGTGGATGATCACTTGACTATAAGCCAGCAGTGTGCAGCAGCAACCAAAAAAGCTAATACAATCCTGGGTTGTATAAACAAAGGCATAGAATCAAGATCACACAAAGTAGTATTACCGTTTTATAATACCCTATTAAGACCACACCTGGAATACTGCAGCCAGTTTTGGTCACCATATCACAAAAAAGATGTTGAGAGTTTGGAAAAAATTCAGAGAAGAGCAACTAAGATGATCAAAGGCCTGGAGACTAAAACATACAAAGAACGGCTGCAGGAGTTGGGTTTGGCTAGTCTAAAGAAAAGAAGAAATAGAGGAGACATGATAGCAGTGCTCCAGTATTTGAGGGGCTGCCACAAAGAAGAGGGAGTCACGTTATTCTCCAAAGCACCAGAGGGCAGAAAAAGAAACAATGGTTGGAAGCTGATCAAAGAGAGAAGCAACCTGGAATTAAGGAGAAACTTCCTGACAGTGAGGACAATTAACCAGTGGAACAGCTTGCCTCCAGAAATCGTGGGCGCTCCATCACTGGAGATTTTTAAGAAGAGGTTAGACAGTCACTTGTCTGAGATGGTATAAGTTCGCCTGCATGAGCAGGGGGCTGGACTAGAAGACCTCCAAGGTTCTATTCTATTCTATTCTATTCTATTCTATTCTATTCTATTCTATTCTATTCTATTCTATTCTATAAGAATTAAGAATCCTTACCCCAGACTGAACTCCCTAAATGTGTAAAGTATAGCTCCCAAACACTTGAAAGTGTTCCACTCTGGTCTTAGCATTGTGATTTCCAGGGTTATTCAAGAGTTTGTTTGTTGTCTTTAGATTTATAAAGTTTGGGATAGGAAAAATGAAACAATATTTATCCCTGCTTTATGTCCTTATTATATAATCAGCCATCCTATGAAGTGCACCACACTCGAAGTCAAGTATTTTAAGTAGCAGGGCCCAAGTTCTGGAGTTTAGCTCATTCTCTATCTTAAGGCAACGAATGAATACTTTGCGGCTAGTGCTTTATTTATATATGTCCTACAGAATTGTGTCATTGCTTTCTCTTTTAATTTCTTCATACCTGAGATTTGATGAACATAATAATGCCAAACTGAATGATAACAAAAATCAAGTATAAAATACTTTTATAATTAAGAAATTATAATTAAAATAGTATGGTAGTAGGAAGAGAATGTACAAGTCCCAGATATCTGGGTGTGAGGGGTATGGAAAAATGACAAAATATGCATCACAATGCAAAATCTCTCCTTTATGTATTTTTGAGAGATATTGTGATGCAAATAAGTTGGATCTTGCTCTGTTATGTAATTTTAGTCATTTTAGTGTCATGATGGTTAGGAATGGATGACTGTATAGTACAGGTCCTGTATGAAATCATATTATGTTCATTTCACCAAAGAATAAGTAGCAAGTGAATGAAAAGAGAGAACATGTAAAAGCTACTTGAAGAGTAAGAAAAGAAATGGGTAGAATTAAGGCTGCTTAATGAATTGATAGAATTAATAAGTAAAAATGGTGGTGGAAAAGAAAAATATGAGGAAAGAATATTGTATAATTTGTATAGAGAGAAAAACATAGTTGAAAGAATATAATCAAAAATAGCAAAGAACTTAAATGTAATCCTGTAATAACTAAAAGAGGCATCCAAATGCAACGTGATTTTGATGATGGAAATTAAACACTGGAAGTGGTTGAAAAGAACTAAAAAAAACTTTCACTGAATGAACAGAACTAAAAATAAAAGTGATGACATGATTTTGAAAGAAACTAAAGTGATGGAATACTGGAATGGAAATTTTACAGAATTGTATATAAATAATAATATGTTGAAGAATAGAATTAAAATAAATACTACAGCTCTTAGCATCCAAGAAAATGGATGAAAAGTAAGTAAGTAAGTAATGCTGTGAGAATGTTGAAAAATGGTAGGGCTACACATATGGCTGGAGGAATCTTAAAATATAGAGTGACTGTGAAACTTGTTTGACAAGACTAGGAAGACTGTATCTGTCCCTAACAACTGGAAAAATGCTATTTTATTTTCTTATACAAAGGGAAAATTGACAAAAGGAAATATAAAACTACTAGTCCGGACAGAGAATTTGTTCAACAGAACATTCAGAAAGTATGAATAGGAAAAAATATATATGTTTTTGTTGGTTGATTTGCAAAAATATGACAGTGAAGAGGTTTGAATTAGGGGTTTGCATAAATATGGAGTTAAAGTTTGATTAAGCTATTTTAGTGCAAGTTTTGAGCTGAGAAACTTACAGATATCTATGATAGTAAGACGTGTATGTTCCCATGATGTAGTTAATATCTAATCCAGCAGATACTCAGAAATCATGTAAAATTTGTTACGTCATAAAGCTTTAGTCTTTGAAGTAATAATTCATGTGTTATTGAATTGAAATATTTTCCACTATTCCTAAAAAAAAGTACAAATTATCCAGATTAGAGGAAAGGAAGGGAAAGTAGTATCTAGTATAATTTCTCTAGGTATTCATAAAGAAGCAATGTGGAACAGACTTATTGTGCTTCAGATGGGCTCATGTGAGGTTGCTTCTGCATCCAACCTATTTCCAACCAATATGGGTTCTAGATTATATATGATGTAACTCCAAGGTAGATCATTAATCCTTAGTGACTTCTACTAGAAATAAATAATTGTAAAGACCAGTTAAATTATAGCTGAGGATCCCTGTATGGATTATATACCCATTCCCTGCTCATACTTCCTGCTTGCTATCCTCTAGATCAGCGGTTCTCAACCTATGGGTCGCGACCCCATTTGGGGTCGATCGACCATTTCACGGGGGTCGCCAAGCAAGGCTGTCCGCCATTTTTTTCCCCTTTTCCGGTGGGTGCCTTACCTCCCTTGAGCTGGGCCAGCTGGTGGTCGGCCTGCTCCGTCTCTGCCGCTTGCCAGCTACGCCTCGGCCGGCGCAGGAGGCGCAACCACGCATGCGTGGCGCTCCTGGGCAGGGAAAGTCCTCGACTTACGACCAGTTGGGTAGTCCTTGACTTACAACCGGTTTAGTCCTCGACTTACGGCCGGTTTAGTCCTCGACTTATGACCGGTTGGGGGTCGCGGCATTAAAAAGGTTGAGAACCACTGCTCTAGATTTTATGCCTCCTATAATATACTCTTCCATGGTGTCCTTATTATATAGGTCTCTCCCCCTGATATTAGCTTATCTTTAAATAAATGAATAAAACTTGGGCCAGACCTGGTTATTTGATCTTCCTTACTATTTCAATTTCTAGTTATTCCTCTGCAATTCATTTTCTTTCCCCTGTTGGGCTTTCTAGCAGATTTTTGCTTCAATTCCTCCTGTATTCATTCCTCTTTCAACCCTTTCTGAAGAGTTGCCCATGGCCTTCACTTAATCTTGTAGCATATTTTTCTTTCTGACTGTTGCTCATTCCTTTCCCCAGTCTAGGACAAATGAGAGCCATCTTCCGATCAGTCCATCCCTTAGTAACTTAGAGTTTGGGGTTAATTGTTGTCCTCACAATATCCTTTGAGGAATATCATAATCCATGTCACCCTTTTTATCATCCTTTAAAAATATAAATTACATGTCTTTCAGGTTTTCACATATACAGTAAAACTATATTATTCCAGGCAACGAAAATGTTATTATTCTAGGATGCCTTTTATGATTTTTATTTCTTTTATATATACTTAACTGTTGGTACTTTCCACTGTTATTTTAACGTTCCTACTAACTACCACATCACCTTCTTGAAGAGGTGAGGCCGTACGGGTCTGGATGGGAAGGAACAGACTCAGACTCAACCCTTCCAAGACCGAGTGGCTGTGGCTGCCGGCGCCCCGGCATAGTCAGTTGGTTCCATCGCTGTCTATAGGGGGCGAATCCTTGGCCCCCTCAGAGAGGGCGCGCAATCTGGGAGTCCTCCTGGATCCACGGCTGACACTGGAAGATCATTTGT